GCTGGGCGATGTCTGTTACAGCTGCTGCCGCTGCTGCTGCTCAAGGTGAGCCATTGAAGTTACCTTTTTGAGCACTCTGCTTTGGATGCGCAGTCTCTCCTTTTTGCACAACCCTCACTTTGACATTGAAACCGCTGCGGCGGTTGATAACAGCAGTTGAAATTGAGGTCTGAAAGTGTTTCAACCACACACACACACACTGTGTCACTGAGCTTTGTTTGACAGGTGCTGATGACGCTGGTGCACTGAAATTGAGGGTGTGAAGTAAAAAAGGTGCTACTGTGTAGTACCCAGCAGGGGGTGACAGGAAGACATGAGCTCGAGGATGACAACAATGACTGCTGTTAACCTCCACCGGCATCAGCAGTAGTGGAACCAATCGCCGATGATCGATGAGTCTGCAGACAACGTCACTGGAGGTGGCAAAGAGATGGTGTCCGTGATAATGTGTTCCGCACTCGTGCACTGAANGTAGTGGAACCAATCGCCGATGATCGATGAGTCTGCAGACAACGTCACTGGAGGTGGCAAAGAGATGGTGTCCGTGATAATGTGTTCCGCACTCGTGCACTGAAGATGTGTCTTTGTTCTTTGTCCGATTGTGGTTTTCTCTGATTTTGCTGATTTGCCTTTTTTGTTGTTGGAGGTGAATGAAGCTCGATGGTGTGTATTTTGTGGCACTGTGGTTCAATGGAGGCGGTCGTAGTGACGGTGGTGGTGGTAGTGTTTTCCTTTTTTATTTTTCATCTTTTTGTTGTGTGATTGCTTGGAAGAGAAGAAATAAATAAATAAAAATAAATAAAAAGAAGGGGGAGGAAAAGAGGAAAAGGAAGAAATGGACTTGTGATTCGGGTAGGTGGACCACGGCTAACTCCACGGGCCAACCAAAAGAGAGACCAAAGAAGTGAAAGAGAAGTTGAAGATTGAAGGAGTTTGTTTTGATCTTTTTTCCGTTTCCTTCACAACCAGGTCATAATGTTGTCGCGGTTGGTGCTCAGCAGCTCCTCCATGTCGCTGAGGATGTCCATGTCGAGGGAGGGCGAGATGAGATCGATGGAGTCGATGAAGGAGAGGTCGTCAATGTGCTGCTGATTGTTATTGCTGGTGTTGTTGTTGTTTTGCGTCGCACCAAAGGACTGCGACTGCATCGGCTGAGTACTAGTCTGCATCAGCATCAGCTCATCTGACGCCTGTGGGGCCTGCAGGACTGATTGGTGGTGATTGCCTCCAAAGAGAGGCTGATTTGGATTTGGATTTTGAAGCTGCTGTTGCTGCTGCTGGTGACCACCACCATTTACTAGCAACATCTGCTCGCTGCCAAAGCTGTTGATGATGTTCGGATGACTCCCAAGGCTGCTGTTGATGCTGTTTCCGGTGGTGGTGATGTTCCCCAGCGAGTGCTGTTGCTGGTGGTGAATGTGAGGATGGCTGTGCTGAGAGACAGTGTTTCCCAACATCAACGATCCACCCAGACCAGAGTCCAGGGAGGCCTGGCGATTGTGGCCACCGCCGCCACCAGCACCAACCAAAGCCCCCGAGAAGATGGAGTTGTTGAGGGCATTGGCGTTCGCATTGATTCCAATGGCCACTGAAGAGAGGAAAGGGTCAGAGTTGGGGTTGGTGAAGACGTTAGCAGAGGAGGAGGAAGAGGACGGCGAAGAACTGGAGAGAAAGCTGTTGTTGTTGTTGTTATTGTTGCCGTTGTTCTGAAGTTGATGGGCGTTCCTCAGTTGCAGCTGCGGACTCTGCAGAATTTCGCCCTGTCGCTGGCGCATTCGCTCCCGTTCCAGCTGAAGGTCGCGCAGAATGGAAGGACTGCTGTTGACGTTGGACAGCTGCTGATGATTCTGCTGATTCTGCTGCTGAAGTTGCTGCTGCTGCTGATTCTGAAGCTGCTGAAGAAGCTGCTGCTGCTGCTGATCATTTGGACTGCTCGCCGCCGCCTCGGTGGTCATGTTCTCCATGGCAGAGAGCAGCTCAGAGGGAATGGCCTGCTGCTGCTGTTGATTCTGGTTCTGCTGGCTCTGCTGAAGCGTCATCAGAAAGGAGGGCGGCTCCAGCGAGCCGCCGCTATTGGCCACCTTCACCGCCACCGCCTTCAGCTGGGCCTGCCTGGCCACGGCCGGGTGGTACCAGCTGGTGGTCTGCTCGGCGACGTTCACGTAGTAGGTGTCACCGGTGCCGGGGACCGTCGTCTGCTGCCAGCCCTCAGGCAGCGGAAGGGTGGACAGCTCAAAAGCCGTTTTCTGGTTTTCAGGAGTTGAAGAGGAGTTGGGCGGAGAGACTGAGGTGGAAGTAGCCGCCCCTAGCTGCTGCTGTTGTTGTTGTTGCTGTGCAAACTGCTGGACAATGTTCGGCTGGGAGGAGGAGTAGTTGGGCAGAAGAAGTTGTTGTTGCTGTTGTTGCTGACGAAGGATACTCCCACCACCGTTTGCGGAAGCGGAAGCCACTGCCGCCGCCGCTGCCGCCAACTCCCGCCTCAGCACCTCCCTCCTCGGGTCCTCCCAGGTGGTGCTCTTGTCCTTGTGGTTGAGGAAGTACCGCTCGCCGGTGGCGGTGAAGGACATCGACCAGCCCTCGGGCAGCTGCAGCTTGTTGATGTCGTAGCTCGCCTGGCGGTAGTGCTGCTGCTGCTGAACGGCTGCCTTTACTTGCGGTGACTGATGGTTCGATGGAGGTGTTGGTGTTGGTGGTGGTTGCCTGGTCACCACCGTCGTCGCCGATGTCATTGGCTGAACATTCACCCCCTGCAGCTGATGACCACTTCCCACCGGGGACATCGAGAACTGAAGCATCTGCTGCTGCTGCTGCTGCTGCTTCTGCTGCTGCACCAGCTGACTTTTGGACAGCGTCACCGGCAGCGACCGGGCCCGACTGTGCATGATGTTCAGTCGACCGCTCGCCTTGGCGGCGGCCACCGCCGAGGCGGTGGGCGGTGTCGACGGCGGCTGTAGAGCACCACCTGCTTTGTTTGCCTGCGCTAGCATACTGTTCAGGACGTTATTCGCCTGGGCGACTGCAATCGGCGAGGACATGTTCGAGCTGGAGGGCGAGGCGGGTGAGGAGGAGAGCGGCGAGGAGGAGGAGTTGTTGTTATTACCATGATGAGCTGCCGCACTGATCGGCGTCGGCGGCTTCGAGTTGAGCCTCGAGGGTGAAGAGTTGAAGGGCTGCTGATTCTGTTGCTGATTCTGTTGCTGATTCTGCTGCTGCTGCTGCTGATGCTGCTGCTGAAGAGCCCCGGCGTCCAGCGAGGACTCTCGCGAGTGGGCGGCGCTGGAGCACTGCGAGGGCGGCGTGAAGAAGGAGGCGGGGAGGTTTCGCTGCGAGTACGGCAAACTACCTCCAGCTGAGATGGA